TTTTAATTTTTCAATTTTTAAGTTCTAGATTTTCCGTTAATTTTATTGTTTTCCTTGATGTTTTGATTTCTCGATTATTCGATTTTTCAAGTTCTCGGTTTAGATTTTTTGGTTTTCCAATTCTTCGATTTTTAAATTCTTTAATTTTTAAATTGTTCAATTTCTCGATTTATAGATTTTTCAATTTTTCGGTTTACCGATTTTTTTCATTTAAAATGTTTCAATTTTTCAGTTATTAAGTTTTCGATTTTTCAATTTTGGTGTAATTTGAAAACGGTATTAATAATACATTTAGGCGAATAAACTAATAGACGGGCTTGATAAGGCTTGTTTGCTCTACAGTGTCTAAATTGTGTTTGAATAATATAATAATTATCTCGAATATTAAAATGTCAAAAGAATAGGGGAAATGATTATTCTGTGCTGAAGGTATGTTGTGAGCCGCCTGTCATAAACTATCATTATTCTGCATTATCGGCTTACGACGCTTTTATGACCCACGTCCGGTAGTCGTCTATCCCAGCGCGTCAGGTAGATTAAAAGAAGAATTGCTGGTTGCGTTTAAGGCAACAAATGGCGCCCAATTCAAACTTGTCTCTCGTCTAGCGTTCCCCCTTAAGTTGAATAAGAAAGTGAAGAACTCGGTCGTGTTACCAGTGCACACTCCACACAGGATGACCTACGAACTCCAGAACAGGTCGACAATAAATTCTATATAATGTAGGAAGAGTTTCAGGAGATTCGCCTTTGAAAACTCTATACATAAGTATATGAGAAACAAGATAGACTTGGCTTTACTACATACTTTTGCATTGTGTGGAGCTCAGGACAAAGTGTTAGTAGTTGTGACCCCTAGGTCAACATGCGCACCAACTACTTATTAGTTTTAAGTTCTTGATAGAATAACTAAATTTGGGTTATTTTTCCAAGGAGATGAGGTACAATCGCGGACAGTGAATTTCGTCCACACAATTCACGCGAATTCACAAAAATTCACTGTAGTCGGTGCTTTATTGTCATGATGACTGAAATAAAATAATTACACTACTAACTATTACAGTGATTATGTACAAACTATTTCCGGCGCAACTGGGCTGGCTCTTCTTAACATTCTCTGGACTGGTGGTTCGACTGATACCCCTGTTCCAGACGGTGCCCTCTATTTAATCCTATGCGTGCCTCTCGATGGATCCAGAACGCCCCATCGAGAGTTTTCTGGGCCCGCAATCGAGACTTCCGGTAAGCCGCTCCGTCGCTTAGTCGTATTGACGATGAATCATCGGCGTAAGACCAGAGAGTTCTCGACGGCCATTGGCGTCGCACCGAGGCGGCGTAAGGGTGTATTTCGTAACAGTATATAAGATTTTAAAATCGGGATAGTTGTGAGAATTCAGTTTTTTGATTAGGTATTAACAATGGCAAGTGTACCATTCAGATATTCAATTGTAATGTCACGCTCACCATTCTTAAGTCTGTTGTTAAGGTCCGCGAGCAATTTGGTCAAAAATCAAGCTGGAAGCGTGTTTTGTCGTCCGATAGCTTTTCATAGAGGATTCGGAATTCCGTAATGTTGTCTTATTTTGCAAGATTTATCTGCACGTGCTTGGATTGTTAAAAGGATATTCTTAGAATTATGTTTTTATTACTAGAATTTGTTGCAGAATCAATTCTAGTAACAGAGGTAAGCATCGAAAGATTAACTGAGAAAAAGTTTAGAAGAGGTTGGACGAAATGTTCATCATGGTCACTGGCGACTTCAGTTACACCAATAATTAATAAATTATGAGCCCGGCAAGCCCGCTCGGTAGCTTCATTTATGAGTATATCAGGAAAAGAAGTACGTATTGATAGTTGAAGATGTAGAAGGAGTGTTATGCCTGAATTTCTCAACTTCGTTTGCGATGCTTTCTAGATGACTTTGCATGGTTTGTTGTGAGGACTGTTTGTTGATAGTCCCGAAATGCTCAGATAAGCTGTTCGAATGAGCCTCAAGAAGCGTATTGCATTTAGCTATATGATTGACAAGTTGATTTTAGCTGGTTTTAATGGTAGCTATATCGGTGCCAATTGCATTAATTTTTTACAAGTAAATATAATGTTGAGATGAACGGTGGTTAATAGTTGAGATTTTAAGGCAGACGCGGTCAATTTTTGTTTAACGAATCAGTGAGAAGTTCCATGATTCAGCTTTCTGCAATTGAAGCAAGAGACTTTTTGTTCTTGATTTTTAAAGTTCTTTGATCAGGAAGAACAGCTTTTGTCGGTCATAGTTATTTAAAATTGTTGAGCTGATAGTGATATGTATGACTAAACTGAGACCAGTATAATATAGGGAAATCAAAGTTTACTCAACTATGGTTCCTCGGATGAAGGGATTGATTAAAGTCTGGCTAGTTGCAGCCTTGTAGTACACTGATTAAAACAAACTCACTAATTAATTCGTTTGGAATAACGTAAAAATAATCGAAAAACAGAGGAGCAAAATACAGAGGCGTTTGACACCATTCGACGTTCGAATTGATTGGGGAATTTCTTTCATGTTGGAATCAAAGAAAACGCACAAAAATACAATTTTTCAAGCAATCGTCGTGATATAAGGATTCGGCACGTTCATCGCCTCGTCTTTAATCATGATCCTTCTGCTAGACTCTAGTTTGCGTATTTAGAAAGTAAATACGAATTAACGGACAATAATAAATATGAGTTCAGTTCATCTTACATGAAAAATATATAAACTGATCATTATTTGTAATTTGTCAATTTGTCGCATGGAAATAATTATTTAGCAAGAATATACCTAACTACTTGAATATCTAGAGCACAGTAATGTAGGTTCACGGCCAGAACGTTTGAAATTGCTATTTAAATGTGTACGATTCATTTCAATTTAAAAAATCTCAAATATTATGTCATGCCTCAAAATTTAAAGAGGTCGCACATGAATAAATCTCATTAAAAAGAACAGCACGAAGAAAACTAATTCCACTAATTCACTGTGCAAACTTTTCTAAAATTTTATCAGTTTAAAATAACGGGCCTGTCTAATTTGCAGACCACAGTTTATCTTGCAGACTGGGGGTTAAAAATGCTCCAATCAAGTTGAAACTTAACATTTGCTTATTTCTCAATACGAAGATTGTTGGTACAAAATTTCAACCCGTTCGGAGAAACCCTTAAAAACCACCCCCAAAACAACCTTGCAGACTTGGGGTTAAAAATACTCCAATCAAGTTAAATTTTGACATTCGCTAGTTTTTCAATACGAGGATTATTGATGCAAAATTTCAGCCCATTCGGAGAAACCCTCAAAAATCACCCCCAAAACAACCTTGCAGACTGGGGGTTAAAAATCAAGTTAAAACTCCATATTTGCTTATTTCTCAATACGAAGATTGTTGATACAAAATTTCAAGCCGTTTGGAGAAACCCTTAACAACCACCCTTAAAACAGATTTGCAGACTGGGGGTTAAAAATGCTCCAATCAAGTTAAAACTCGATATTTGTTTATTTCTCAATACGAAGATTGTTAATACAAAATTTTAACCCGTTCGGAGAAACCGTTAAAAACTACCCCTAAAACAACTTTGCAGACTAGGGCTTAAAAATACTCTAATCAATTCAAAATTTGACATTCGCTAGTTTTTCAATACGAGGATTATTGATGCAAAACTTCACCCCATTCGGAGAAACCCTCAAAAATCATCCCCAAAACAACCTTGCAGACTGGGGGTAAAAAATGCTTCAATCAAATCAAAACTCGATATTTGCTTATTTCTCAATACAAAGATTATTGACACAAAATTTCAACCCGATCGGAGAAACCGTTAAAAACTACCCCCAAAACAACCTTGCAGACTGAAGCTTAAAAATACTTTGATCAAGTTAAATTTTGACAATCTCTAGTTTTTTAATATGACGATTATTGATGCAAAATTTCAGCCCATTCGGAGAAACCCTCAAAAATCACCCCTAAAACAACCTTGCAGACTGGGGATTAAAAATACTTCAATCAAAGCAAAACTCGACAGTCGCTTATTTCTCAATACAAAGATTGTTGATACAAAATTTCAAGCCGTTCGGAGAAACCCTTAAAAATCACCCCCAAAACAACCTTGCAGACTGGGGGTTAAAAATGCTCCAATCTAGTTAAAACTCGATATTTGCTTATTTCTCAATACGAAGATTGTTGATACAAAATTTCAACCCGTTCGGAAAAATCGTTAAAAACTACCCCCACAACAAGCTTGCAGACTGGGGCTTAAAAAATACTCTAATCACGTCAAAATTTGACAATCGCTAGTTTTTCAATACGAGGATTATCGGTACAAAAATTTCAGCCTATTCGAAGAAACCCGCAAAAATCACTCCCAAAACAACCTTGCAGACTGGGCGTTAAAAATGCTCCAATCAAGTCAAAATTTGATATTCGCTTGTTTCTCAATATGAGGATTATAGATACAAAATTTCAGCCTATTCGAAAAAACCCTCAAAAATCACCCCCAAAACAACCTTGCAGGCTGGAGATTAAAAATAATCCAATCAAGTCAAAACTCGACATTTGCTTATTTCTCAATACGAAAATTGTTGGCACAAAAATTTAACCCGTTCGCAAAGACCCTTAAAAACTACCCCCCCAGACAGACTTCGACTGGGGGTAACCGAGTGAAGTAATACGACTCCTGTCCCGCACGGCGAAGCAAGAGGATCAATTCCTACATTTGAATTGTACTCATAACTATATCAAACTCCTTGTACAACCCCTACAGTATAACATTATCTGAAAACGGATTTCATTAACAAAAAAACTAAATAATTAGTACTAAAATATTCACAAAAATGTAAAAAAAGATGTTTTTTTGTTCAAATTGAACGGAGGGATTTTACTGTATGGGTTCATCATTAAAAAAGTGTGCCAGTATATAAATTAGTACTTATTTCAAAAAATACTTGAAACTGAAAGTCTGTGACTATTGTAACAGTTATTAAATTCAAAATTCAATTTGTTTTAGAAGTGAGGATTTATTCAACACATGTAACACTTTTTAAACCTGCTGGAATAATTGTGTTATTACAATGTAGATTTTTATATACATACGAAAAATTTTAATAACACTTCTTTACTTAGAGCGAAAATAACATACAATATAAATATTGATCTGGTCTAATTTACTCTAAATTTCTTTCTCTATGTGGCAGTGTGTTGCGGTGTTGTCCCTTGGCTTTGAATAATACAGAATCACCCATGGCTGCATTGAAACCAGGTTCATACACTTCTCCAGGTGCCTAAAAAATTAATACAAATAATACAGTTACATTAGATTAAAAAATACACATACACTTTGTATGATATCATAATAATGCTTTGCATCTTCAGCTTCTATCATCAATTCTGGGACATTAAAAACCGGGACATTAAAGTATGCCAACACTGAATCCTTCTTGTCAGCATACCTACAAAGTAATAATTACAAATTTAACTAATACTTTTAATTTTTATTACTTATTCCTAAGCACGCCCCAATCTTCTTCAGAATGATGTCTCCAGTCCTTCATTTTTGGATCTTGCACATCATATGAATCAAAATCAATTCGCTCAATATCTTCAACCACTATTTCAACCTCACCACCTTCAGACCAGTCATAAATTAAAAGTTCAGCATGTTTGCTAATTTCTTTTAAATAGTTTTGTTTGTATGTTTTCTCCATTACAGACAAGTACTGGGGGGTGAGTACTTGTGAGTTCTTTTCAGATGGGATAGCACGTTTTTTGATGTTTTCCTGAACTGTGTGTACAGGTACATCGAGATAAACCACCAAGTGTGGTCTGAGTAGCTCAGTAATGGTATTACTACGAATTTCATAGTATGCTTTATAAGCTACAATAAAAATCGATTAATAAGACTTGTTTCCACTTTATATCTTCACACCTGGCTTTGACAAATAACCCTGCTTGTACATCGCCTCAACAAATACAAAATCTGAAAAACAACATCTGTCAAGGACAATTCCTTGTCCAGTGCTTAATAAATGAGCCAAAGCATCAATATACTGTGAATACCTTAAACATAATTTTTAACTCATGAACATATTAACTCAGTTGATTACTTTGTGTGATACTGCAGAATCTGGAAAGCGGCAGTGTTTCTATGTTTGGGGTTTAAAAGAAAGTCTTTAATGTCAAAACTTCTGCATGGCTCTGGTAATTGTTCATCAAGCTGTCTTAAATCATACCCATACTGATTGATATAAACCATGTCCAAATTAGCTTCAGGTAGATAAAGCATATCGAGTTCATCAGCTAAGGTTTTAGCGAAGTTTGTTTTGCCTGCAGCTACAGGCCCTTCAACTACAATGATCTACAACAAACATTAAGTAAAACATAGTTATACTAGAAAATAAATGCCTTTGAATTTTCATCAAGCCGGGACGTTGTTCTATCAGTCCAGTAGTTCAGAATAGTGTAGGACTTGTCATTGTAATTCCATGGTTGTGGTTTTGGGGGCCTGTCCGTATCCTTACTTCTTATTAGTTTGCTGCTGATTGTTCTGACTAAATTGAACTCGGTTTTCGTAAACAATAAATTTTTCGAACTATTGGCGTTTACTAAACGGGACACGCCGATGCGAACCAGACTTGCCATATTGGCCAATTAATTCGGGAAGGAAATTAGGACTGTTTTGGAATCAGTTATGTAAAATGTGTAAAATTGTAAGTTTGACAGCTGACACATTTGACATGTTGACTGAAGCCTAGTGTAAGAGAAACTTGAGGTTATGTAACTGGGGTGTAAAAAAACCGGTTGGCAGCCCTGTGTTCAGACGATTTTAAAATTACTTAAAATACAAAATTATTATCACGATTTACATAATCCTAAAGAAGAGATTTCTGTATTTTATGTAAATAGTTCTGCGCATTGTTTTATTTTTCATTTGTTTAGTTAATCTTTCCGTTAGACTGGTCGACAGTACGGTTGCTGCGGACGGAAACGTCAATAAACTGTTTAAATATAAATGTCAATTTGTACAGATGTTGAAAGGAGTAAATAAGAAAATTACAATTTTGGATGGCTCCTTTGGCTTCCAATTGGATAAATATGTATCAAAATCTCTCGATGGGGATCCTTTATGGAGCGCTAGATCTTTGGCAAGTGAACCAGAGGCTGTTATTAAAGTGCATTTAGACTATATAAAAGGTACTACCAAATTGTAGACAATTTCTTCATCCCAAGTTTTCAATTTCAGCTGGGTGTGATATAATAGAAACCAATACTTACCAAGCTAGTATTCCTGGTTTTATAAAGTATTTAAACTACACTAAAGAGGAAGGTTATGAACTTATTAAAAAAGCCGTTTCGCTGGCCAAAACAGCCATCGAAAGGGCACGAAAGGAGGGAATAATATCAGGTGGGTGTAACACTTTATTGTTATCATAATCTAATGAATGTGGAGTAGGTGACACAAGACCTTTAATTGCTGGGTCTGTGGGGCCGTATGGTGCGCATTTGCATGATGGATCTGAATATAATGGTTATTATACTGATAAAACAACAATTGAAGTTTTACAAAACTATCATAAACCAAGAATTTCAGCTTTAATTGAAGGTGGTGTAGATCTGTTGGCTATCGAAACAATTCCCAGTAAGAAAGAGGCAGAGGTCATAGTGAATATTATCAAAGATTACCCAGATATTAAGGCTTGGCTTTCTTTTAGCTGCCGGGTATGAAATAAACTACAATTATTTAACAAATTAAGCATCAGTGTCAACAAACTGCTTAGGCACTTAATGAAGTCAGTAATTTTCCTCTAATCCCATGTTGTTCCAGTTGTTAGTTAAATTCTGAATCATTGCAAATGAAAATTTTTGCAGTAAATATTTAGATATGGAGAAAGTCTTTTCCAAGTTTTTATTTTCAAACATAATTCACACTTTCTTTTAAAATGATTTTGAGTTCACAGTTCAGTAAAAATATGCAACCCACAATGCACAATGTAGCTCAATTTATGAAAAGTCGTCTTAATCCAAAGTAATATGTTGACATGCAATTAATCAGATCATTGAAGCCATGCTTATGTGATGAACATGTGACATATAGTTGAAAATTATAGCTGTAAACACATTTCCCGCCCTTTAAAATGTCGCCAACAGTTTCAAGTTATTTAAACATTAAAAGGCCAAACGTGTTTTGTTGAACTCATTTTTAAAATTACTTCTTGTAGACTGATGGTGTTTCCACTGCTCATGGAGATAATTTTAAAGATACTGTAACTTCTTGCTACAAATTAAATCCAGATCAAATAATAGCTGTGGGGGTGAATTGTATAGCACCACACGCAGTGGAGCCTCTTATAAAAGAAGTTACAGATATTCCTTTGATAGTTTATGCCAACAGTGGAGAAAAGTATGATTCAGCTTTGGGGTAATTTTGCTAGAAACCCGATTTTATATTTTTATCAATGTCTTTTTAGATGGGATAATAACGATGAGAAACTAGAAGAATATATTCCTACTTGGTTAAATTTGGGAGTCAAATACATCGGTGGGTGTTGTCGCGTCTGTGATAATAATATAAGTAAAATTGTTGAAGAAGTTCGGAAATGGGAAGCCACACATTCTGAGTAAATCACTTTATTTTACTATAAATGCATTTAAAAAATCTCAGACCACGAATTAACTAACGGGGTTTATAAAAATTTGTTGTTATAATAAATTTTTGACTATGGTAATATATCTAACAGCTGTTATCTTTGTCTCCCACCCACACACCAGAACTGTTACAAGTTAAAATGTAGTGAGCTTTGTTGGGACAGATTAGCGTTACCTTGTCTTCAAACAGATATGAATTTCCTTCTATAATGGTTGTTTCCTTAACAGCAGGTTTGCGGCATGATTTTTCTACAAATTAAATAAAAACATTATTCAGTTTTCTTCTTACATTCAGCTGAGTGTCTTTTCACTTTGATGCTCCCATATCCACTTAAGCAAATTAAAGTCAGTTAACCTACTTGAACATCTAGCTCGCATACGACTCCAGCGTCCATTGGCTAAACAGCGAGTTGAACCATCTCCAAATATTTTGTAACCTTCTATACAGTCCAGTTTGATCATATTCCCAAAGAAGTACTTGTCGTTGTCTTTAAGATCACCTTTGATAACCATTTTGTCAAACGCTGGTGGTGGACATTCAATAGCTAAAAGTATATTTTTATGGATTATGGATTGCAAGAGTTCGGGAACCTACGAATGCAAGTAATATTTGGCTCAGTCCAATATCCGTCAATTATACAGGTAGTATAATTTTCACCAGAGAGTTTATAACCAATTCGGCATTTATATTCAACTATGTCTCCAGTTCCATTGCCTAGAGCGTACATTGTGTCAAGAACAACGTATCCATTGTCTGGTGCTGGTGGTACTTTGGAAATATCACAACTTATTTGAGATTTAACGGGAGATACAGTAGTAGTAGTGGTGGTCGTAGTCGTAGTAGTTGTAGTAGTGGTAGTTGTTGTTGTTGGTTCTAGAACGCATTGTGGCGGAGGAACACTCCAACTACCTACAATAATGGTTTATAAAGAGCATGTTAAACTAATACCGCTGAAGCTAAGCTAATTACAACAATAAGTCGTTTTTAACGTCCTGAAAATAAAAATATTGTTATATTTACCATTTGCTTCACACGTTAGAACATTTTCTCCAATCAATTTCGCTTTTATGTCACAAGTAACTTCAACTTGTGTGCTAATGTCGAAAGTTGACTCATTTTCTATAAAATCCTCGTAGCTATGATCAGCCAAAATGATCAACTTGCTGTTCTCTGGTTTTTTAAAGGCAGTGCATTGTAATCCAGCACAGTACGGTTTTTCTGGATACCAAGTACCATTTTCTGAACACACACTAGCAGTGTTACCAACCAAATTGTAACCTTCGTAACATCTATATACAACTTTGTCACGAAAATAAAAATTGGTACCAATAATATATCCATTTCTCAAGTAACCAGGAGCGCCACAATAAACTCCTACAATTTATTTATAGAATAATTAGTTTTAACCAAAAAAGATATATCTAATACTTCTGCAAAATGGCTCATAGCGCCCTTCCCATTTTGCTGCTTTAGTACATTTCCGGCCGTTCTCATATGACGCATCACTTAAATAGAACCCTTTATAGCACTTATAATAAGCTACATTGTCAACAGTATCTATGATTCCGTTGTAAAGAGGCTTAAGATCTTCACACTTCGTACAAAACGAAGAATTTTCTATCTGAACATTTCCTTCGACGTGATTTTGTATATCAGGCCACCCGTAAACATCTCCGAAGTTTGTGTTTGCACAGTCACTCATGTGCATGGAAATTTCTTTCAACGATAACTGTTTTGACCATACATCTATGTGTGCCATTTTCCCAATGTACGTTTCTGATTGGCTGAAACGCCCCCCGAGCATATCTTGTTCTTGACCAATTACCATATTGCCATCTCCTACAACAGCAGAAATGACGTTGCAGAATTTATTACGCAACTCTGCTTACCTTTAATTTCTGTGTTGCGAGCTAACGCTGTGCCATTTTTTGCTATAAAAGCATCAACGTACACCTGGTATACACCCTTCGAATTTTCCCAAGACACGCAAACATGATGCCAAAGCCCATCGTTCAAGAAAACATCGGTCACGACATGGTAGTTATTGATGTATAAAACCAATCTGCAATTCAATGTCAAGACATGTCGATAATTGGGGTCAAGAAAAATACCCGGTATAGTCTGTTAACGTGAACGCATTATCATAATTTTTAGTTGCGTAAGAGAGGAGAGTTCCATAATTGACGTTATCTCGAGTTTGCATCCATAAACAAGCCGTAATTTCGCTAAGATTCTGTTGGAAACCGCTTAATTTCACATAATCGGTGGTTGAAAATTTCTGAAAATGTAAAACGTAGTCGGAGCGACGCCGAAATTCACACCTTCTTCCATAGTAAAAACGGGGACAAGAGCACTCGAAGGATACGGTGTTACTAGAGCAAATACCTCCATTTAAACACGGCAAATTTGTGCAAAAATCAATTTTTTCGTTGCATAAGTTGCCGGTGTAACCTTCGGGGCAAACGCAACTAAAACAGTACACGTAATGATATATTAACCTTTTTTTTTTAATTATGTACCTGTAACTGTTTCTAGTAGCCTTTGCGTCTAATATGTTTACACAGATACTATTACCTTTACAAGGTTTATAATCACAAGGTAATATATTACACCGTTTTCCAATGAACCCGTTTGAGCATTCGCATCGAAAACCGCTCATGTCGTCGGCACAAGTACCATTATTTTCACAGACATTTTTGGTACAGTAGTTGAGTTTGGTTTCGCATGTTTCCCCTCCAAAACCAGGAGGACACCAACAAAAGTAATCATCTGGTTCGTTATAGTGACATGTTCCATTGTTCAAACATATTAAAAGGCACTTTTCTTCGATTTCCTGACATAAAGTTCCTGAGTACCCTTTAGGACACAAACATTCAAAACCGGTGTCCGTTTCTCTGCAAAGCCCGTTATTCAGACAAGGATCTGAGTCGCATCGTGATACTTTTTTCTCACAGTGCGATCCTTAAAGTGATTAGTATTAGTCGTTTTCGTCACACTGTACACGAATACTCACCTATATAGTCCTGTGGGCATTCACAAGTATATTGATAGTTATCATGTTCCATACACTTGCCGGTGTTACATATCCCAGGAATTTTTGCACACATTTCTTCAGCTGTTGGTACACACTGATTCAAGCTGACTGATCTTGCAGACAACGTGGTATAACCTTTAGGACAAGGAAGACATTTTCTTTGGCCAAATTGTGATTGATAGTACCCTATGCTACACGAACGACAGTATGGTCTCAAAGTCGTCCTTTCTATAGTCACGTTGTGGTGACGCCTAGACTGCTTTATCACTTTTCGCCGAGCATGAGTACCTGGTAGGCACTGTTCTAAAATCAGAACATCCGTTTATAACCAGTGCAATTATTTTCACTTGAACGAACCTTTACAATCGTCGGCTTTTTTCGAATGTACCTTTCTGGTTGAATGATGTAAAGGACACGATTTACACTCGATTTGCCCCAAGTCGTCATTGTAGAACCCAAGTGGACAGCTTTGACACCTATTTCGTGTCACGTTATGAAAGGTACCTCTAGGACATTGTACTAAAAAGAGAAATCAAATTTCAACAAAAATTAAAGTTGTTTTACCGCATCTGTTCTTTCTAGGTACGAAACCAGAGGGACAAATAAATCTGGGTTTGTAGTAGTGAATGGAAATATTGTGAGCACCAAGATTAACATTTTGAGTTTCTTCAGTGTGATTTACGTATTTGCCCTTCACTTGGAATTTAACGTTAATTTTTTTCTTCTTCGCTCGACGTCTGCTGGTATTTTTGTGCGGGACTTCTTCAAATGTGGTGTCTCTTTTAATAATGTTTGTCGTTTCTTCATCTATTTCTTCCTCCAAACACGTAGTATCTGTGTTTACCGTGCAGTTGTCCTCACAGGTCATTTCTTGCAAGGTTATTTTAATGTCATTTTCCAACTAAAGTAAACGCTATAAACTATTGTGAAAAATTTTGCGCAACTGACTCTTACATCATTTAATTTTTCAGTGTTGTTGCAACTGTCTATGTCGGATATTACGTCAATGCTGCCATTTTGTTCGATTTCTTTCGGTACTTCGGTCACTAAAATTTTGGGTGAATTTAAACGGATTTTGTCATAGAACTAATTACCAGAACATTCAGGAAACATCAAACCTTCTTGATTGTACCAAATTGATTCCGAATCATTACACATGAAACTAACGGAACTATCCTCTGCGGAATTTTGAGGTTGTGCTAGTGGTACTGCGTAACCCTCTTGACATGTTATAACGCACTGCATTCCGTCATTATGGGATGAACAGTCACTGTACCCATAAATTGGATCCAAAAGTGCCTCACAGTGGGCCGCTACAATTTTTATAAAATCGTTTTATATGATAACGTCAAAACGTGATACAAGATCGACATATTTCACCAAAAAATTGGCATAATTTTCACTGATAGTACCAACTTTGTTGGCGAAACGCGTCGACCAAGCACGTGCCTAATTTTCTAATTTTACCAAATACCTTCAACCGTGATATTTATTAAGCACGTGTTTTCATTGCCTGAACCATCGGTTGCTGTGTATGTAACAACTGTGGTACCAAGCGGAAAGTTCCCAAAGTCATGGCTTCGCAGTATCTGTAATTATCAAGTGAGTAAATATTTTCCGATTTATTTTAGTGAAGGTTACTGTGACATTTTGAGAATTATCAAAGATATTGGGTTCGTCCCAAGTGATATCGGTACCTCTATTTTCGTTTGTTAAAAAGGTAGGTGGACTAGTGCAATCATCAATAATGGGTGCTTCAGTATCTAAAAGTAAAAAAAATCGTTATTACTTAATTGTAACATAATACAAAAGTAACCTTCAACGATAACGAAGAATATACACTTGGCTCTATTTTGGAAGGCATCTTGTGCGAAATATGTAACCTGGGTTTTACCAATCGGGAACTTAAAAGCTGTGATATTTTTGATGCTGGGTTTCATCCAAACCGAAACATCCAGGTCGGCGTTGTCTACAACTTCTGGACGTTTCCAAGAGGCTGTACCAAATTTTTTCCCTGGTAGAGCGCTCGTAGTTACATTTGGCGGACAAGTAATCTTTGGTGATATAACGTCCTTACATATGGTACTTTCGAAAGGAGTGTCCCATAAACCATGGTTACTGGTGCACGTTTTCTCTTCAGGACCTTCTAATTTAAAGTCATCGTCGCAAATAATTTTACACTTTTTTCCATACGATTGGCGCCCGATCATACACGATTCGGGTTCAATTCTACCGTTTTTGACCGGCGGAAGTTTCGGACATTTAATTTCTAGAAAAAAAACAAAACAATAAGAATGGCGTTAAAAGGTCATCGCACTAACGTTTACACGACGTTTTTAGACCGTCCCATCTCGCTAGAGGTAAACAAGTTCGTTGACTTGACCCGATCAAGGTTTTGCCGTCTTGGCAGGTAAAGGTGCATACAGTATCGACAGGAAGGTTTTCTTCGGTTTCATTGTATGTGATACCAAGATCAGTGTGTGAGCATATCATTGACCCATAAGCTGGAGGTGTCAGCTTTGTACATGTTTTTACTGAAAATAAATATTACTACATCGTGTTTTTGATTATGTAGCAGATAACCTTGGCATGATGGTTGTTCGCCACTCCAACTTGCATTTTTTTGGCATAGCCTTATGCTGTTCCCTACCAAAGTATAACCAACTTCGCACCTGATTCCACATGCACTGTTAAGCACGTTGCCACAGTCTCTCTTTTTGACGAAGTAAGCATGCTGGGGTGTAGACAATTTGGGACACTTGAGGGCTACCAATTAAAATAATTATTGAAAAAGTCGTTAATGGTTTTTACGGTTACTTTTGCAACTATTATCCTTGGTGGAGACGTAGCCGGTTTTGCAGGTGCAGTTTTCGATACTGTGAGCTGGGGGTATGGTTGTGTGATGCACATCTGGGCAAGGACGACAAAAGTGGGGACCATCGGAATAGTGTCCCGCAGGACAAGCTAAATAACAGGATTAAAAATTATGTTTACTTAAGAGCCAGACTGAGTAACAATGAATATAATAAATAATAAAAACTAGTGAGGTAATGACATCACTTACGAGAACAAGAGTTCCTAAGTCCTGTCCCATAATATCCTGGCTGGCATATGCAAGAATAGTGCCCAGTGGTGGTCCCACAGGTACACAGAGCATTTTTGTCGCAGCAGTCCCCATCTTCACATAGTCCAGCACACGGGCTATTAATCCCTAAAGGAATGTAATCGCCACTTTTGAGATCTAAAAATGAGAGTTACTTTATTTAGTAATTTTCACAATTAACCGCGTGTTAAATACTAGCCTACATGCAACGCTCGCCGAGCCAAACTTTCAAATTCTTGAAAGCTGTCTAATAAGTAACTGTAGAATTCCCCGGGGGATGAAGCCAAGTCGTAAAGTTCTCTATAATTCCCATTTTGTATTCCTATGGTAAAAATTTTAACTTGTGCTTTCTTTAAATCGTTGGCTAAGGGTATTGGGTCTCCACCATTTGAGAAACCATCAGTTATTAGAAATAGAACCTTTTGCGAATCGTTACGGCTGCGTTGAAAGATTTCCTGTAACGAAACTGTTAACGCTGAACATAACGGTGGAAGGAAAACTTGCTTTAGCAACTTTAAAAGCGTTGTGGGTGGAAGTTCCTCCACCGGAGTATTCTATTTTATTAAGTAATTTATTCAGTAGAAAGCACTTGTTGTTTTCAATTCTTGGTTCACTTATTTGGTCAATGTTTATACTCTGAAACAGTGAAAGGTTTAAAGATGAATTTTTCATAGGACTGATATTTCTAATTGTTGGCAAAATTTAATCATCGTGTAACTTACTGCGTTAAATAAACTTTCTCTAATGTTTATTCTAAAGTTAATTAATTACCGTCGGTGCGTTAAAACCGGCGTTATGGTAAATGTTGTATTATTTTGTTTGGTAAATGAATAAACGAATAATCGTGAAAGAGTTAAGCAATTTAATGGTCGCATTTTTAAGGTACCCTGATTCCAGAAAGATGTGGTAATTTGTGTAATAATATATTACACAATATATATATATCTAATATTTCTTCTTTACTTGGCTCACTGTTGTTGCTAATACTGTTGAAATTCAGAGGTAATTAGCACCATATACAAGAACATGCCACGGTTTTTAAATAGTATTTGCTCAATACTACATACTACTTTTTCTAAAATGTTATTATTTTTCGAAGAATCTGTATTTGTTCGCCTGAATTTCAAGGGTGAGGGAATTTCTATTTAAATAAACTTAGACCAATAGAGAGCTCCTCCAGAAAACCGCTTTAATTATACTTTCTTTCTATAAATTAAATATTTTGCTAGAAGGGACATATTATATCGCATGCTTATTTAAATTGGACGTCGAACAAAAGAGAAAACCGTAGATCTGAATCATTCAATTACGATCTCAGATTTTTAATGATTTTGACTGTAAATACACACACAAACTGAACCATGGTTTAGAAAGGTAAGGTAGAAGACTTGTTTCGATTTCGAACGATAGATGTGGTGTAGTATTTCATTTTTATTATTGAGTTTCATGAGAATTTAATGTGACAGATATGAGCACACGTGGGAAATAATGTGTGACCACCTCGTTAGTTTTCGTATAATACATAATTGCAAATTTAAATGATCACCGGATATGTTTTGTGTATGTACATTAAAATTCCAATGTATTACACCAAAAATATGTAACAATTTTCGAGGATATTTTCGAATTTGTGCCAGTGACATTAATTCGAAGTTAATGGGTGATTCTTAAGTTGTGGTTGAAGTAGTGAATTTAATAAAATAGTAATTTTTTAATGATATTCACAAGTATAGATATATCGGAAAATATATTATATAGAAATTAAAAACTGATTCATATCCTGTTAAATTATATTTATTTATGTTTTTGCCATCTTAAGTAAGTATTACGAACATCTAGATTTATTATCTTGTGACTTTTAGTTATAGAATAAAAATAAAATTCACATTTTTTAAACTACAAGATTAACTTAGTGGTATAACGTATAAGGGTTCACTGGACTCTATACTGTATAGGGAGTATTTTTTAACGAAATTACAAAATATGATCCACTTTTTGGAAAAGTTAAATAAAATAGAAGCTTTACAATTAAAAGGCAAAAATAATCTTCTTTGTTTAATAAAAAATTTGAAAAATAATAAGAAATGTAAGCAGCTATTTTTTTCAAGTATTTAGTCAACATTTCTATTGAAAGCACAATCAATCCAATCATGCGTTCTCAAATTTGTAACAATTTTAGAAACAGCAAATTTTTTTAAAACATTGTCAACATGAATTTCTTTGTTAATTAAGTTATTTGCTTACCAATCGAAGACTCAGAAAACTCCAGATAGATTGGTAGCAGTAAATAAATTGTTGTTAAACATAACTTACCACGGAAGAACTGAATGTAACAATGGCAACTCTCGTGTGATTGTAATCAACTGTCACATCACTCAACAATTTTTTAACAAACTTCAGTTCGTTTCTAAAATTGTCTTTTCCAACGCTAGACGACGCATCGATTAGAAACAGCACTTCTAATTTTCCCGCATGTTTTAAACTATCAATATTTCTCTTAAAAATCTCGCCAAGAACGTCAACTTTAGATTTGATAATAGCGTTTTCTAACGACTCTTTCTTCAATTTGAGTTTTTTCACACCAAAATTAAGAAATTCACTGTAGTTGTTCAACGTTTCTAAGTTAATTTTTTCGTTAGTTGCATGAATTGACGTTATCAACACTCCAACTACAATAAAACACAAATGCATTTTGTACAACTCGACCGCAACTAAAGAAACCAGTGCTTTAAATTCTTCCTTAGGGATATGAATCTTCCTTATCATATGCGTAACACATGGCGCTACAATGTTTGTCTTTGTGTTTTTGTTATTATCTGGTTTTATTTTTACCATTAAAGGTCTCGTAATATTTATGGGGTACTTTATTAGAACATTATCAGTTCAGAGATGGTAAATACTGCTGCGGAAATTAAGAATCCATCATTCCGATACTTTATTGTGTGATTACAACGATTAAATTACTTCAAAGTTCTCCGATGTTTTGAACTGTAGCAAGAGTTGTTTATGACTTTTGTCAACAAAACCAAGATAAGCTGCAAATGAGGTTGACACGATGATTGTCCCAACCATCTTTCAGTTATACAACTGCCAGCGATTTCTAAACTCTCACTTTCGTCAAGTCCAAAAGAACCGCAATTTCACGTTAACTCAGTATCAGTTCACTTCATGTCTTCTCCACGCTGCGAAATAACCATTAAATATAAACTGTAGCAGTGTAGCGTTAAATTTTATGACGAAGAAGTGTATGTTTGTTCATTTAGGTCATCGTTGTAACAACGTGTATTGATACAGTTCATCTGGCAAGTCAGTGCCCACTACAGCATCCAGCAAGATGGGTCGCAATTTTTTATTAAACAACAACAGGTGAGTTTTTTTCATACGTCTGTACACATCTACAAGGATGAAAGGAAAGTCTGTTTTCTCTGTAATCGTCCGTGTAATTGCAATTGTTTGTGAAAAGCTACGGGTTTGTAAATTCTGCCTTGAGCTATAGGTTGTTACTCACTAACTCACACGGTAAAAATGCCATCTATCGCAAGTTAATGAAGATTGAATGGCCAGGTGATTTCGCCTTTTAACAAAAGTCGTCCCTGTCCTTCAAAAAACTCAGTATAACAAAGTAATATTTGCATACATCATGTTCAAAGGTTACTAAATAGTACTGATTTCGAAAAATTACTTTATCACGTCTTTGGGTCAAGAGTTATCCTTTATGAAATTAACACAAACTTCCTAGGAATTAATAATAGCATGACTTATGTACGAGGGAGTTTAGTTTATAAAAAATACTGATATTTCTGAAGGTCAATGTTTCGTGGCAAGTGTTTTGATTTTTTTTTCTAAGTAATTATGAACATTAAATATACAAATTTATTTCTTCTTCATCTTTCTTATACATTAATTAGTTTGATATCATTGGCTATATGGAGGTCAAAAATATAACATTGTAAAGCTTTATAATTTTTACATTAACTCTAAACTGTATAAAAATGTAATCTATATAGAAAAAAAATGCATGTAGTTTTCCAAACCTTGTTAAAAATGATACATATCTGTAATGTTTTGTAAGACCACAAAATTCTAAAAATATTTGAATGCTGTATTATTGGTTGCGTTATAACTTTCTGCGTAAATTTATTTAGCTAATCGTGGTTTATTTTTAAGATTTTTTTTAAATTTGGTTTCCCACCAACAATTTTACCACTGAGTAGTGAGTATGTACTGTATCGAATTACTTACCCATGTTTTTTCCCTAGTATAACACGATTAGACGATAGTGGATGTTATGTGAATCACCCTATTAAAACAATATTTTCCTGAACTTAAGAAAAATAACCACCATTAATGTTGCCTAGCTTTTAGCTGATTTCACTAACAGTGACGTTATTTTATTTATTTTACATTTAGGTAGTTATAAATTTACCGTTTGTTAAATCTACCTGTTCGTTTAGTTTTTGTCCGTTAAGAGCATGTGCGGGAAATTCCAGTGCCAGGTGTTTGAGCCTGAGATCTAACTAAGGAAAATCATTTTCATATAAGTAAAATCAAATAGTGCAGCATTAATGTACCACCAGTACCAGTAATCATTAATTATTGTTCGCATTACTAGTACACAACACTGTTTGAAACGACATTTCTATAAATATTTTTTGTATTTAAATAATGAAATACCCAAACCTTCCATTTTTACATACTTACAACATGCTTACGTCAATCTAAATATTAAGTATTGTTCATTTAATTTGCTTATGCCTACGCAGCGAAACTCCACATCGCCATTATAAATGATTTCTTTTCTGTGATCACGCGTCGTTTGTTTTCATAAAATGACATTTCACCAATTTGGAGCAAACAGTTATGATTATAGGTCCAATTGAGTCCATAGTACTTATTGTCAATGAGCAATATACTATCAAAATCTACGCTGGCTGTCTCTTAATTTCAGAAAATAATTGGTTTTATTGTTGTAACATTGTAACTACAAGCATACCGATAGACCTGATGTCAAACAAGACAGTTACATCATTACGACAAATGTTTACTCAGAACTGGCCTTGAGTAGAGTTTTCTTTCAATGTTAGACGTCCCATGATAAATACCTTCACTAAATATCAGAAAAAAACAACGAAGTTGTGATAAGCGACTAAAGTGAGCTTGACTTATGTATATAGGTATAATGTTCGGAGAGACAACACTTTACAGTAGTGGTTAACTGAATAAAGACTTCTTCCGTCGATTTTGGATTTTAGTAATGAAATAATTCATAAGTTTGCCCTAATCAAAAATACTGTTTTGATTAAACAACTGTTTATAATCTATAACACCACAACCAAACAAAATTCTTATGTAGGTAACCATCGCAGGTACTCCGTAGAAGATGTAAACAAATGTATTTTTGGAATGTCTGAATTATAAATTGCTAATTCTGAGGTTATAAGACGCCACCGATCTAAAATAAATAAATATCGTATAAAGTAAATTTTTTATAGAAACTTTCTTTTCTTTTAAGTTTAAATTTTCTAAAACGGGGACTTTACAGTCATTTTGAGCATTCCAGGCAGTAAAGTTAAGAGATAAGACGTAGGTCAAGAAAAGTAGTTTTGTTATTCAATTTGTTATGAAATTTTGAAGATTAAGAAAAATTGACTCAGATCTTTAGTATAGTGACTCATACAAATGAATCGCTTTTGCGCTTAGTCTGAAATCTAATTTTATATAATAACTTTTAGCTGCCATAAAAGTATTCGGATTATTACTACTTATTAATCACGACAATAAAGTAAAACTCAAATTAACCTGCAGATCATATTTGTGCCAAAAGCTTTAAATACGATGTACCTAATCGTAAAAACTCTACCTATTCAAAACTTCACTGTTTTTGTTTTCACCAGTTTAAACGTTCCATTTTAGTATTTAATTAACATAATGATGACATTTACACACTTCAGTCGTATAACGAGCAATTTTTCCATAAAATATTGCTTGTAGTTTGTTAGTACTGACGGCATTGATAAAACTCCTTGCTGAATCGAACGACCTTGATATGTTATTTAAATAAATTTATTGGCTTGTTAATAACAAATAAAACAAATATGTTTTATGATTTAGTCAAATAATTCACGTTTGTTATGCAAACTGTAAACTTTTTCGCAGTTACGCCTACAATACTTACCTACCTCACTTTTAGTAAGGCACGTGAAGTAATATTTTTGTAAAGTTCTGCTTTCATGGACAATCGTAACAATATCTACGTATTTTTATAGTCAAATTTCTTACGTGTTTGTGAAGAAACAAGTATTTATATTTATTACTTCATTACTACTTACGTGTATGGGGCCGACAGGGAACAAAGTTACATATAAGTGAGGGTGAAATGTAATTGTAGCTGTATGTTTAACATAAAATTTTAAATAAAATACTAATATGATAATAAAAATAAAAAGAAAGGAAAACAAACGTTACAGCAATCTCGTGGTTAATGATGTGTTTTATGCATATTATTTGATAAAATATACACACATGGTGATGACAGGTCGAAGTCCATCTGATTTAATTTCTATCGTTCCGGCATTTAAAACTAATTAACGTCGTACTCAAAACGCAACCTTAATAATGGTCAAATTACTGACAATTGCATTGTTATTTCCAGTTCTTTAATTACGGAATACGTTAATTGACCAGGTTGTCGCTTCTATGTCTATTGTGTCAGCGTAGTTAAAAAATAAAAAAAAAACATTTCAAATAATTTTTGTATAGATGGAATAGATCTTCATTCCAGAGGTAAAAACGCACTAAACCGTATAAATTAAGGAACTACTAGACCGAGTTATTTTTTAGGAAACCGCGTAATAACCTTTACCTCCAAGGCAAAATTTGTAGCTTTTTCTTAAATTTGCAATTTTGGTTAGTTAAGCATTTTGTTTAGATTGCACAAGCTCACAAGAACACTTTTTATTAGCTGAATACGGAAATTTAGACGAATGTTTCATATTTTCTAAGTGTTTCAAGACACTACTGTTGAAATTGTTGTCCGAAATATCTTGCTAGTATGTCAAATTATTTGTGATATTTTATAGTAAATTCCAGGAGTGAGTATACCGAAACGCCAATTTGACATGGTCTCGTGTTGCTTCTATCGACCACTCTTTATATTCTATAAAATTATAAGAAAATGTTGACTTTAATTAGTGTTTTAATAAAAAATTGTTGTGCAGGATGCCTTAAAAACCTTATCTGTTCATCTAATTTCTTCAAAAACTTATTACATATAATAATATTAGTATATTTATCACCACCAATAAGTTGATGACGTCGTGACAAAAAACACATTTTTGTTGAACACCACGCCTTAACATATATGTAACATCTGGTGTATTTTTTAAACTCCTAGAGAAAAAAATCTTTGCGATAAAAACCAGTTATATTCTTTTCCCAACTTTTGTTAAATATTACCAAAACTTGTTTATCAAGCGGTGGTTAACCTTGGTAAGAAAATCAAGAGCGACTTAGAGGTTTATATTTGTGCTTATCACAATTAGTGACAACTTGCAAACTCATAATTACATTATTATTATTAAGTTTTTACGTCATTAGTAATAATGCGGTCAGAATATTAAAATAGTTTGTAAGAGATATATTTTTTGGTGACAAATAAAGGTAAATGACACAGTTCACAGTCTTTATTTCATGATGTTGGTCCTATTTAATATACACAGTTACATAAATATGTAGTTATATAACTGCAATTGCCGACAGAAAAAAAATCAATGTATAAGGTTTACATTTTTTTTTTTTTTTTAAATAGTCCAAATTTCCCGATTTTCCAAAATTTCTATAAAATTTGAACTTATCTTTCTCAATAAGGCGTAACTAAACGAACTGTAACAGATGTGTTAAGTTTAATAAGCTCTTTCCTACAAGGTAATAATAAAATTAGCAGTTGCTATCGTTGACTCCAATAAAAAAAAAGAACGTTAAATATAAAACTTTAAGAATGCGTTGGGAACGGTTGCATAAGTATAGGTTTTTTTTTGTTATAATTTGAGTTCAGTATTAATTGATATTCACTTAGCACCCATGTTTTAAATTCAACTGTAAGAATGTCATGGTCTAGGTGCAAATTAAATGTCCTCGACGAAATAATCTTGTAGACGTCGAACAAAAAAAAACCTTTTATAGCCTGAAGCAAGCTCTTTTTTTTCAGATGTGTGTAGGAAAATAATGTGGTCGATAATTTGATTATGCCACATTACACAAAAATTTTGACATGCTGTTTAGTCTAAATATGGTTTAGTAGTGCACCTTTATTTTTAATTTCACGCATGAGTTATTAAAAAAAATTCAGAATTATATAATATAAATTACAACTTGGAAAGTACGAAAACGAACTCCGTGAGACCTTGGTAACTCACTGTCTGCTGTGAATATTTTTAGTAAATGGTTCTACTTTAACTTATTAAAACAAGACATGGTAGGGTAAAAATATGGAACCGATCAAATACCTCGAAAAACGTTTATTAGGACTGCCGGAAGGTTTAATAGATTTTGCTTATTTTCTTTTTGGGAACCCCAATTTCTAAATGCCAGTAACGTTTTTATTAGTGTTGTGTTGCAAATATTATAAACACAACGACAGGTATACAGTCAGTTCTTACAACTTTGAGTAGCTGTTCCATAAGGATTAACACGATTGTCTTATTAAATTATTCTTATAATTACACTACGAAACAAACTGGAAAGTTTTGATTTTCTCTGGGATGGTGTGAAATTTTTATTCCAATAGATAAAATATTTGGGTCTGGGTCAGAAATCACTTAAATACAACGTTTCAAAATTAAAAGATTGATATTTAACATAATCACTGTTCAGAATATTAGTGATTTTTTAGAGTTACACAGTGACATCTCCATTTCTTCTAAAATTTTGCTTTCCATAACTTTGCTATTTTGCCAGATAATAGTACGATATCCTTACACTGTTCTTTATCTATTATTATTCTTCATTATTATACATAACACGTTTTTGTTCCTACACAAAGAATAACGTTACAATATCTCTTTGTTGTGTTAATGAACTGTCAGTAAATGAAACTGGGGACCGAAAACCTTAATAGTTTACATTTTTTTTACTCCATATTATCGTGACTTAATTCGCACTCGTACAATTCCATGAAAAAAGCCTGTCTTGAACTTCAACCTTCTTTTCTCGAGCAGTGTAATTTTTTATCCAACTCGATGACAAATTGTCGCCGGTGTAGAGTCCAACGTTTGATGAGCACTGGCATAAAACGCGCATGCGTCGAAATTGACAAATACAAAAGTTGGACGAACCGCACTGGCGTCCTCGTCCCTCACCGCACTACCTTGAGCTTCCTAACCGTAGTAGTTTATTATTGTTTATCATTGTTGCTCGAGCGCTGCTGATGGGTGTATTGTTGCGGTTCGTGTAGAAGTTTGGTCGTGTGCTTGGATTATTGAACGAATTTTCTGCTCAATCATGGCAACTGACACTATTTTGTTGAAAAATAGGAGTTCGGACTACAAAGTGCAAATTACACCAGCACAACCGAAGACATTGACACATCTTCCACAAAGGCCTAAAGTGGATCTAGCTTTTTCCAACCTCAAATACACCGTCAAACAGGGCAAAGGTGAGTGATTTTTGTTCATTATGTTGAAGAGGTGATTAGCGAACAATTGACAGCCTTGAATTTGGTATCGATTGATTTTGGTTAGTGTAAGAAGGGTTTGCAAAATTACATGTGTTTACTTCAGTGGTAGCGAATCGGGGGCACCTTTGGTTGTCAAAAAGTAATGCATGTTCATTAATCGTATTAACAGACACAACAGTATTTAACTTTATCTAATTGTGTAAAATAAGCCATTAGTTAATTATTGCATGCATATACTTCTTATAACAACAGTGAAAAGATATTGTTCGAAGATACGTAGTTACGACGTAGCTAATTAAAATGCGGATGTAAAGTTTGTAATTTCATGGTGAATGCTGATCAAGTTGCAAAAGTTAAAGAATAAATTGTGTTGCATCTATAAAATTTGACACCGAGATACATTGACAATATAATCCCATTTAAAATCTGTAACGTCACAATGAAGACAAAGGATACAGTAAAATAATTTGTTAATAAGTTTTACGTAAAATTAATTATGCAACACATTTGTGACCATAATTATTACTAATTAATTAATAATACTTTTTGTACTGCCAAACAATCAAATTCAAATAAATAAAAGTGGCAGCTTTTCTAAGAAGCTTGACCAGAATTTTACATGATTTAAATAGGCGCGTTATACGTAGCGCCCTCGTACGGTGATCTGTTCAAATAAAACATCCAGCTATTAAAATACAATGTTAATTTCCCAAAGGATTTAGTATGTAACTACTTGCATAACCGAATCGAATTTAAACAAATCTTTGATTCTAAAAAATGGTACATGCCTTTATTTTCTTTGTTGTCTTTCCTATTTATTAAAATATTGCCGTTAATTTACCAAAAAAAAAAAATCGGGTGCGGAGTTCAAGAATAATTTTACATATCACCTACATAAAAAGTTTTTAAGTAGCCTTCACACTTGTATATAATTTCGCACCCACTAATTCGAACAGTGCGATAACACTAACAATTTGTCTAAATTACGTTAATAATCGCATACTTTCATTAAAGGCTCATTAAAATTTGAAAAAATTGAATGTCCTTTAAAATTGTTAAGTTATTGGTGTAATAAACAACCACTGAAAATTTGTAAATAATCACATTGTAAATTTTAAAAATGCATATGGATGATATGATTGTATCTTTGGCACATTATAAATAATATTTGTTGTATGTGTAGTCAGTGCAGAATAATGATTGAGGGAAGCTACATTTTTTTACGCACGAGGTGCATAAACAGTTTTTACTATTTGACTAATGTCAGCTTTTGGTCGGTATTTTGTTTGCTATGAAACTTGCATCACGTTGCAATTTTATGATTAAAACGTTAAAAACACCATACGTAATATAGTAGTTATTTGTTCAAAACAAGTCTTGATTTACGTAGTCCTTATTCCTTAATTAACCACATAAATTTGTGCAAGTAATATAATTAAGGAATAAGGACTTAGGACTTGTTTTGAATAAATAGAATATGTCCTTAAAACATGGAGTTTATCATTGTAATATAGGTTCTAACGAGCGTCCAAATAAAAACGACGTCAAGTTGGCTATGTAATAAATGTGAACGAATCATTCACATTTCAGATTTCGCATTTCTGATTTTTATATTTAACTTGTACTTGTTTAATGAAAATTGTTGTTTTATTACAAAATTGAAAAAATAATCAGAAACGTAGTACATGTAGTCAAAGTAATTAGTGCCATAGTAGCTGAAAAATCAATCAAATAAAATATTTGTTGTATTTTGTACTCTACATTTTATTTATCTTATATTATTTAGTTCACGTTGTATGTATATGAATATGTATATTAATATCTAAATAATGTACAATTAATTCAGACCTTTAACAACTCAATGAACTCTCATATTAATCATGCTATAATATAAACAGACTTCATGATTCCGTGGCTAAAAAACTTCCGGTCTGTGTCAGGTTTAAGGAAAAAAATTAAAAAGTGTATTTCCTAGCTTTAATTAAGATCCTTGAGAAAAATTCCCACTGGCAACATGACATACAGTTTTAGCGAAATTATAGTCAAAATTAGAATTTTATATTAGTTTTGTGATAGGTACTACAATGGCTCCTAATTATGATTACTTTTTTATAACATATGTTGTTATTTTTTTGTCATTTAGATATTTGTCCTTGATATGTGACTATAGTTAGGATAATTTCCGAATTATATCCTGGTAATTTATACAAGATCAGATAGTTTAATTTTCAGTTCTCTAGCTAGATTAATTTTTCGTGCCAATTCGCATTTCAAATGTGAAATTCAGTGTATGCATGTAATCTTTGTTCTAGCATAATTTGTTACGCTTTTAGATATTCACTTTAGGTATTCAACAAACTCATTATTTAAAATGAACTCTGACGTAAGTAATCATAAATAATTATTACTTACTTACTCCCAATAGAGTAAGCATAGATTGTCTTTATTTTAAACATGGCAACAAATTACCAAAGGAATTGTTTGATTGTCATTTGCATATTTTTTAGTTTCCAAGCTTTTACGACCCAAGTATCATTTAAACGAATTCACTGTCACTGTGTACACAAATTGAGTGATCATTTTAATTTGGTGTCAAGTGATACATAAAAGCAGAAGTGTCGAGTTATATAACAATAAAAATGATATACAACACTGCACCTTTTGCGACGGAACAAAAACGTCTCCTGTTTTACTTTTTCATATCTTAATTGGTGTTCAGTTTTAAACCACAAAAAGGTGATTTAATCATTTACGACTAACCTAAAAGAAATGGCACGTGTTGCGTTATGACCTTCGAAACCAAATTTAAAATGATCATGTTTTTCAAACTTGGAAATACATTTTTTTTCTCGAATAACCAATTGTATGCGTTAACTTATTTATGTAACAAGTATATTTTAGACGTAAGGAATGATTATGTACCTGAAATATTACTTCATGTACATTCCACATTGACAATTTTCATTCGCAGCGCCTTAAAGTAACCACTGACTTTTCCGCATACTCCAATTGTCATTAGCTTGAAGGTAGGCAAGTTTTTAATATTAGACTTCCAAATTATAGGAATTCATTTTATATGATAACGTAATGATTTCTAAAAAAATTTGATATTAAGAAAGCAGGTTCACTAGGAACTAAAAAAAAAGGTTAAAAAGTTGTATAGTTCAATCGAAATAAATAAATTTTTATTTAAAATTTGACTTTTACTGTTACTAAGTTAATAAAAAATGCATACAAAATTAGTGCAGTTAGTTGTATGCTTGTTTTATAATTGTTAAAATTGATAACATCGTATCTCAATGTACGAACGAATACATTAGTGAAGTTAATTAAAAACACGTTTAAAGTGTGTTGGTTGTTGATTGACCACAAGCACGTTTCAGCGTCCAAGGCTGCATACAATGTCAACTCTTTGTTCGTATTTTTGGGTAAAAAATTAATCCAAAACTTGTGGACTTTACTTCCATACACACAAGGCTCGTGAGTCATCCCGAACTGATAAGATAAACCTCCCACATGAATTTTCTTTCGACATACTTTTCCACTGTTGACTTTTGTAATGATATGATATAAATATCCCTGAACTTTCAAAATTTTTTTTCGACAAATTCTTCGACCTTGTTGACATTTCCTTCAGCACATGTTTGCGATGTTCGCTCCACTGCAATTAGCTATTTTAAGACGTTTAATGAAATTTTACATGCTTCAATTTATTTTATTTGATTTTCAGTCGAGAAAACAATTTTAAAGTCGGTCAGCGGACGCCTGCGATCTGGAGAACTCACGGCAATTATGGGCCCTTCGGGGGCCGGGAAGTCCACTCTTCTCAACATTCTCACAGGGTATAGGTGAGTACAAAGAGACACTCGTTGCAATTACAAGTTGCTGTCGTTTGTGACGGATAGAAAGCGTAACTTTGCAGATTACACCATTTAAGGATTTTTCGTAAACAAGCTTTCGAAAGAATAGATTTCATCAGTGAGTGATTATATTATCAGATGCAGCTATTAAAATCTTTATCAAACTCACGTAGAACTACTGTGCTTGACCCACTTGACCTTTATTATGCTAGCATTAGGACGAGTACATGGAATGTTATCGTTGTCATACATTAAAATATTTTTCTACAAATATGTACGGTCGGAAAGCGAACCCTGACGGCCTCACGATCTCTTTGAAATTCGGGAAGTATGCGATGTTGCAATACAGACAAATTCACCAACAGAATAATGATTTTTTTGGTTTGAAATGTTTCAGTTTATTTTTTGTTTAAATTTGCCCCCACAGTCACTACAATTTTGTAAAATATTTGGAATGTTAATAAGAACTGATTTTTTCTGTCATTATCTTCTACACTAGACTTTTGACCTTTAACAGGGTTAATTATATGTTTCATATAGTTATCGGCGACTAATTTCGTGCCGCATTGAAAATTTACCTTTGTCGCTGGGTGAAGGTTAAAGATTAGATAAATTGATTACGTTTGCTCATTAGATAGGTGCTTATGGCTTAAATATATCCATCGGAGCTGATTTATAACTGGAACACTCTTTTTGATACTTACTGGTAATTCAAACCCCAGCTAGCGAGTCAACGAGTAGATCGGTAGTTTTTCCTCCAGATTTTTAATATAATACCCAAAATACGCTTCAGATTATACAATACTTACGAAACTTATGGTTATGGAAATTAGTTTATTTTTGTCTTTGGGTTTTTCACGACACGTCTGTTAGCTTTATTGAAATATTCATTATACTTTGACGTAATAAGCTGGTATATATTGAATTCGTGATATACACTAAAATTGATGGCTTCGTCGATATTTGGATAATTAATTGCGCCATGATTGTTGTATAATAGTACAATTAAGGTTGGACAATGGATTAAGATGACCTTAAAAAGTCGAAGTCGTTTATTTTTTTACTACCTACATCTTAGAACAAATTACAAATACTTATCCTAACTGCTAATAAAATCATTAAAGCTTTAATTAATGCATATATATAATAACAAATTATAATTTCCTTCTTCACTCTGTAATACTTCATAACTGCTACATGATTTTTTAGAAAACAAAGCCAGGAATCTACAAAATCATTCTATTTAAAGACACCACAAAAATACAAATATATAATCATAAATAATAATATTGCTTTTTTCAGAACAGGAATATAAAATTTCCAATAGATTATGCAACGACATTTTTTGAGAAAACCGGAGGAACATTTTATTTTAACAATAGTTGAAAGTATTCTCAAACAAAAAAAGGTACCTACTGTATTTCGTAATTGCTATTGTTGCGAAGCATTGAAAAAAAAAAAAAAAAATCTGGTATCTTACATCGTAGCTTAAAGAACATGATGTTTCAGAAACAAAGGAATGTATTTTAAAATGGTGTGCCATATTTAGTTGCCTCTGGGATCATTGTTCTCTGTACTTCAGCTACGGTGATCTTGCATCTAAAAAGTATAATGTGGCAATGCGAAAAAATCCTTTCGAATTTAAAAAGTCACTGTCCTTGTTCTGAATAATTTACTTAACGTCGTCTTCGTTTGGACTCAATATTTGGTTTTTGGTCCTGGCATTGGAAATTAGTTGATGCACTGTAGTAATTGGGTGTGTGGTTGAATTAATAATTTAATATTAACGACGTTGTTAGTTTTCTTCAGTTTCTGTTTTCTCAATAAATAGACCGTAGCTTGAGCCCGATCTACACTGACAAAGTACTACCAGAAATTCATTTTTGTCTGCCAGCCTTGAGTGAATTCAAAGGACCATAACTTTTGCATAAATGCAGACATTGTATTCATAAAAGGAACAGTTTTGAACTTTGACAGAACACCAATTTCCAAGACCAAAATTTGGTCCGCTTGACGTCATACAACGATGACCAAATAAATTGTTTCGTCTTTCAGTTTCGTCAGTTAATCTAGCATTGAACATACAATGGATGACACTTCCAAGATCTTTAAAATAAATAAATCTGTTCGGTGTGAAGGTACACTTGAATTGTTTTACGATTTGTTAATTAATAGCCGTCTTACGTGGTTGAAGCCAGTTATCTGTTCTCAACGGAATTTCCACAGAGAATGGTATATAAATTAGTCTGCAGTCTATAGTGTTGCAACTGCCAGATAATTTTCCTGATTAGAACAAATAAAATTAAGGATCAGCCATTTCGATGGATAATCTTTGTTCTACTAAATAATTTACGTGTCACGTAGTATGACCGAATCAGGGTCACAGAGTCTGGATGATGAACTCAATTACTGCTTTTTATAATTGTTACGTACAAGTTATGTTTTTGTCGTTGTTTTTACGAATATATACGTTATTTTATGGCTTCTGCAGGTGTTTGTAATAAATTGTTACCAGTGATTAGTAGAATTAGATACATTGTAAAACTTTTGTGCCGAGAGTAAAATGCTGCGATTTGACAACATTCCAGAAGTGGCACTTTTTTTTATTTTGCATGACTGGATATAAAGACTGGTAGAAAATCCATGAAGATATTTTGTCTTCCCACGATTACGTGAGCTCTTGCTTGAATTAAAGTCACGTATAATAATTCACTTGTACCGCTTAATGCTTGAAATTTTAAGAATGTCGTAGGTTGATACAAATAAGATTTTAATTCAACAAACTTTTTGTAGATTATTGAAAAAAATGTTCTGATAGAATTGTAGATATAATTATGTTCTACAACACAATTTACTATCTAGATTTACATAAAATAATGACGTCAATAAATATTGATTTTTGTATGTACATACCATATGACTATAATTATCGTATTCCAGGTAAATTAGATGAGACTTTTCTGAGATAATGGGTAAAATCAACATCGTGTGTACGTAATTTTGAAACAAAAAAGCAGGCAAATTATAAAGATTGATAGTTTCAACATATTTTCTATCCATAAAGTCAAAAATAATATGTTAACGTTGAACAGTTTTTGAATGTGAAAATATCTTAGCTTTAGGAAAATGAATTTTCACATGTTTGGATAAATAAAAGGTTGTGTGAGGCGTGGTGGAATAGTAAAATATGCAATGTATAGTGTTGTTTTTACATAAAAATGTAAATTAAATTTCAACCGATGCGATATAAGGAAAAATAATTTTCATCTGTGCAGCTACGGTGTATGAATCATATCAAGATATTACCCGATTCTCTTAAATAATTAAAAATTAAATCATCCTGTATAAAGAGTTAAAAAAAAAATTGGTCGGAAATTATTTAGACATAACTTTTGAATTTTGGTCAATGTTTAGTTTAAAGTATACCAAAAATTTCACAGTATTCGATCCAATAGATCACAGATTAGGTATCTAATAAAATCGCCAATTAGACGGAAACGAGGACTTTTTTCATATTCTAGGAGTAAAATAGATTTATTATAAATATTTCTGAAAACTTAATTAAACAAGAAAATTAATAATTCATGGTGGATTAGCCTCTCAGCAGTAATTATGACTTCCTACGGTTCCTTTTTAAGCAGACTTTCGATTTTTTGTTTCAACATATTTCAACTGCTGCAGATATTTCAGTCGCCTTGAACAATTTTAATTAATACGAAGTATTAATAACGTCTTTTTTCGAATTTAACCTTCTTTGTATGTTTTATTTCTTTCAATAGCAACACAAGAAAATAATAGAATAGAGAGATAGCACCCTATGTTTTTATTCAAATCAGCAATTGCAACCGACATATGATGACTAGCTACCTCATCACTATTGTTATACGTACAAGGAATAGCGATAATCATCAGTATGATGTCTTATCAGAATTGCGAATCGCATAAATTATTAATTACTCTTGACATTGAGCAGTGACGTTATAGTTGAATTAGATGTTGCTTTTACTTATTTTTGCGTCAGGTAATTTTTCTAGAAACATGTAATGTAGTCTGCAAAGTTGCGTTCTTATACACTTTATAACAACGTAATAATGATTTTTTTTTAATTAGAACTGACGGGGTGGAAGGTCAAATATTAATGAACGACAACGAAAGGGATTTGAGCCAATTCCGAAAATTATCAGCCTACATAATGCAAGACAATCAACTCCACCTTAACCTCACAGTAGATGAAGCCATGAATGTAGCTGCTAAATTAAAAATTGGCGACAAACCCAAATCGGAAAGAGCAGCCATTGTAAGATTTCAAATAACCGCATCTACGTTTAAGTACATGTGTTTTGTTCCAGATACATGAAATTTTGGACACTCTGGGGTTGCTAGATCATAGGAAGACTATGACCAGTGGACTATCGGGAGGTCAAAAGAAACGTCTTTCTATTGCCTTAGAGCTTGTCAGCAATCCTCCCATAATGTTTTTTGATGAACCAACAAGTGGCCTTGACAGTTCGTCGTGTTTCCAATGCATTTCGTTACTTAAAACTCTGGCGAGAGGTGGAAGAACAATCATTTGCACTATACATCAACCTTCAGCTAGACTGTTCGAAATGTTTGATCACCTTTACACTTTAGCTGATGGACAATGTGTTTACCAGGGTTCTACAAAGCAGTTGGTCCCGTTTTTGGCCAGTTTGTCATTACAGTGTCCTGCCTATCACAATCCGGCGTCGTACATTATTGAAGTAGCTTGTGGCGAATACGGAGATCACACAACAAAGCTAGTCGAGGCGATCGAGAACGGGAAGAACGATATCAGAGAAGGAAAACCGTTCCCGGAAGTTAAATATAGTAATGGACTGAATAATTCCGCTCTTATTACAAATGATCTTAGTAAAAGTTTCACGAATTACGATACAGAGAATAAGAATCTGATGGTGAATAATTCCGTCAATGTTGCCAAAGAAAGTAAGTATAATTTTGATGCATCAGTGAGCTGTGTTACTGCGCACAAAAACACGATTTTATTTAAGCGGGTTTAGCCGGTAGAAATTTTAACAACCTTGTGTGGGTTTTTGCGTTACAAATTTATGTGGTGGGTCATTACGGGTGTCTGGACGACTTGAATAAGCGTTGTCTTAAATTCATAAAGAAAAGAAGTTTGCATTATGACGGCGATATTTTATATAAAAACTACGACATTGACCTTTTTTAACGGTCAAACGTAACGTAGAATTTTAAGGTAAATAAATTGTTATCTGGAAAGCAGCAGTTATAAAAAATATCAAGCATTTCTTTTATTATTTTCTATTCCGGTGGATATTCAATAAGGTAAAAGTCGGGTACTCTTATTTTTTATGTTGTTTTTTGTTCAGTACTTTCTCATTTCGTTAATCTTTGTTACTTCTCCACATAGATATAAAATCGATAAAAAAGGAGATCCAGTATATCGGTGTTTCAATCAACATTCTATAGATTATATAGAGTCTGAGCGTACTAAAGATCGAAATCTCGATATGTTGCAAACAATGGGACAGTTGACACTCGATTGATATTAATACTTTTCTTAATCGCAGTCGTTGGCCTTAGTTTCTTTGTTTGTGGAAACATTTGTCTTTGTGCTTTATTTTGTGTTAATGCACTCGAAAAATAGAATTAAAATAATCATACCTATGAATGTTGTCCAGTGTTGCATTTACATGCAAATTATGCATTAATGTGATACGGAATTCAAGATGTTAACTTATCTTTTATCTGACATTTGTAAGTGTCTCTTAGCAAAGTATGATAAGAAATTGTATCTGTAAAACAAAGAATTAAACATTTTCGAGTTAAAATATATTCTAAACCTTGTAAATGTATATGTATAAGCTATTAATGATAAAAAACCCAGACAAACGTCGCCTTTGATTAGAAGTATACTTGGTTTTGTATTTTGATTGTACTGAAAATAACCTGTGAGTGCAAACTAACAAAATTAATTTTCCAAGTACATATTATATTAAATATCAAAGTACAAGATTAAAAAAATTCCGTTCCGACAACAGTTCAAGTTTAGAATTTGTTCCCAAGGACCCGTATCTTTATTTTGCGTCACACTACATCAATTAGCTCTCGAAATGTATTTTTAGAAAAATCAATAATGCATTTTGTACAACCAGATTTTATCTTTATAGAGTGCTTTTCTCTAAAAGGTACACGGGCGGAGTCAGAGATCTGCGCGTGGAAGTTGGCGGGAATAGATGATACTATAGACAGTGGCGTATCTTTTGGATATTGAATCTGGGGGCAATGTTATGTGGTACTAGAAATCACAGCCAAAAAAATGGAAACACAAATTTATTTTGTGAAAATGTGTTTCCGATGTTATAAAATCATAGGCGTAACAGTTTTTTCACAAAAAATCAAACTATACACTCACAATAAACCAAGAAAATTCTCCAAAGAGTTCTCTAACGCCAGACGCCACTGAAGATGAATCACCACGTGCTGGATTCTTTCACCCCGCAATGCTGAACCAAATTTCGTTTCTGCGCACGTTTATTGGTGTGTACCTTTTACAGAAAAACACTACCATTGATAACGATGTTTAAATATTTAACGATGAACTAAAATTCCTATTATTTGGGGACTAATAATACAACACGTGTGTATTGATAAGCGCTTAATTAAGCTTCGGGATTTCATTATGCCCTTATCATTCAAAAAAGTTTAGATGTATATATGGACAACAACTGACAATTAAAAATTGGGCGTTTCTCCAACAATTAATATTTCAATATTACTTTGAAACAGGGTAAATTCCCACTTAAGTACCTGACACTTTCGTAATGGTGATGTATTGTCAAACTGGTAACACCAGCTGTAATACTGTAGTTAGCGAATGGTGATAAGAGACACGTGTGGTGGAAAAATATTTAAAACGGAGTTAATAACATTTTTGACTACGTATAGTCTGATAAAAGATCACACTATTTTGAATACAGTTTGACCACAAAAAGTATTATGAAATAAACGCTTCTTTTTTTAAGTGGAATACCCTTTTTTAAATTTCTTTTCAATCATTGCTGCCTGAATGCAATAACATGAAATATACATTAAGTTACTGAATAAACGGTTAAAGCAAATTTGAATTGAATGAAAAGGAAACATTGTTGCAATTATCGTTTTTTCGAAATGGTCATATTGCGTAGAAAAGTGTAATTTTATTTACTTAAATAAACAACAATTGTATAAAATAACATACTCCTATACTTTATTTTACAAAGAAGCTGTATTTGGTCGAAGGTAGTTTAGGGACGAGGAAAGCTCGTCAAAATAACTTAAAAAACATTTTTCTTAAGATCTAGGACATTCAGCCGTAGTTTTTGTTTTTCGCTCTTTTATTGTTATTGGATGGAACTTGTGTTTAACCGATGTAGTGAATAATAGTGATAAGACATCCGCAAGATGGCACATAACCAGCAGCATGGTGATAAAGTGCTATATTTTGTTTGTAATAATCGGGCCGCAAAAAAGCGAATTTTCTGTACTGACCGCGTCAAATGGTCACATCTAAGTTGTGCTATGAAGGTGTTATCACCCCAAATTCCGTTTCTGAACTATTCAATGTACAAGGAAATCTTGAAACCATTAAAACGCTATCAACCGCAGTTAAGGCTATGAACAACATCATTGTGGAATTAGTGAATCAAAACAAGAAACTTAGACAAGGCATCGAACACAGGCAGAAAAACAACAAACAAACAAAAGGAATCTAAATTCTGAGGGGTCTGTTGTGGAACAGGCTGCTACAAATGTTATTATTCGAGGTGTTTCAGAAGGTCAAGGTAACAGTACCCAACAACAAGAGGCAGACGAACTAACTATTAAAAAACTGATAAAGTTAGCGATTCCAAATGATAACGAATATAACATTATGAGCATAATCTGCCCAAGTAAAGCTAAAAACAGATATTCATTTAAAATATATCAGCGTTATACCAAGAATTATGGAGGTAAAATACGAGTAAATTTCCAACAGCAACGTCATCTTTAAATTGTAATATTGTGTATCAGAATGTGCGTGGTTTAATCACGAAAATTAATGAATTTTATATGAATTGCTGTAGTATGGACATGGACATTGTTGTTTTGAGTGAAACTTGGTTAACATCGAATGTGCTGTCAAGTGAGTTATTTCCGGAAAATTTCAATGTTTTCCACACTGACAGAAATACAGGCCGGGGAGGAGGAGTTTTAATTGACAAAAAAATCATTTCTGTGCAAGAGAACTTCATGTTGTCGGTATCCCATCTGTTGAACTTCTAGGTATTAAAATTTCTGGAAATAACTGTAATCTTCGATTCCATAGAAAACTTCATTCATTTCTGTTCTCCTGTGATACTATGTGGGGATTTCAACATGTTAGAGATGAACGAATACTTCATCAGTGCAAAAATATCGAATCTGTTTAACATCTATACGCATTTCATTGCATTGAATAATAATCTAAGTCAACAGAACAAAGTTAGAAATTGCAACGACAAGGACTTAATTCTTGATATGGGTAAATTTGAATCTCACCTGGTAACAGAGGATAAACACCATCCCTGCCTTAATATTATCCCTCATGGTGACAGTTCATTAAATACTCTGTTTATAAATAATGGCGACTTCTTAACTTGAAGGAATTATATTTATCCGTCACGGAAGTAGACTAGTCATCAATTACGTACACACTGGACGCTGCTTTACCTTGAATTAGCATTTAAAAAAATAAAATAAAAACACGGAACACTTACAGGAAAACAAAATTTTCGTATCATTTAGACATAGTGGCTAGTCATTTTTCAATTTGTATCAGAAGCCTTAGATAATCGTTTGGTGTATGTGACAATATTTTTTATTAAATCTTTGTTAGAAGACAGGTGGTGGATTTAAATCAAATATGTATTGTGTTAACAGTGGTGTGAGACAAAGGTTAACCTAGGTCCACAGCTATATAATATATTTTATAATGACGTTGTGAAACGTTTGAACTGTAAGGCATTTGTTTATGCAGATGATCTACAGATTGCAAAGGTTATAACAAGTATTGAAGATTGCATTGAACTGCAAAATAGTCTTGTTAGCATACTGTACTGGTGTGATAATAACGAGTGTTAATAAAACTAAATGCAAAAAATAACATTTTAATATACATATCGCTAATTACGCTATGAAATTGTTAGGTTCTGTTGATAGAAACACTAAAGACTTCTCCAATATCCTCTGTATTAAATTTTTATTTTATATACTAGTCATATCAAAAATAGAAAATTGTAGCGTAATATGGAAATCTTACCATTTAACATACATATATCAGTTAGAGAATGTATTGAGAAAGTTTGCAAAGTACGTAGGTTTTAAGATGTTTGGCACATATCCTGTCAGACAATGCGATCTAAATAAGTAACTTAACACTGTTAATGAAAACTTTAATTAGTAGGAGGAATATGTCTTGTTTAGTATTTTTACAAAAGATTGTAACTGGACAAATTTAAAGTCAGATAAGTATCTCATATGATATTCCAAACACATTTTACCACTTCATTAGTCCCCTTATAGCTTGTTTTCGTTTGTATAATTACATTACTTGGTAACTCTTGAATAAGAAATAAGATATTGAAAATTGAATACTAATATTGCGGTTACTTATTGAATGTTATGTAGTTATGCAGTTCATAATTAATATTTAAATAATTGTTTGTGTCTATGTTGCTATGTAGTTATATCTACTAGAGATGATTGTCTGCTGAGAATAAACCCATTACTATTATTAGTATGAATAGTTCATACTTGCAAATTTTATGAATAATGAATTTGCACATGGTGTATCCTATTTCAAAGGATTTAAAAATATTCCGGTATTAAAAGTTCGTTATATTGGTATAAATTTATTAGATAACTTTTGTCCTAATGAATTATGATTTGAAATTTATAAATGGAAGCAAAAATTCATTTACCAGAAAACTATGTATTGTAAATCCACATTGTAATCTGTTGTTAAATTAAACTACGTTATGTTAAAAAATGATTTTTGTTTCAGATCTGCCGCCTCCCCCGCCGATCGGATTTGATAAACTAGCAACCGAAAAAGTGTCCGTGGACACAGCTTTGTTAGAAAATTCACTTCCAGTTAGGCAGCCACGTTATGGCAATTCACAGTTCCAACAATTTTTCATAATTTTAGGCCGTGCCTTTTTATTCAGTAGAAGAGATTGGGTAAGACTTCCTCTAGCACCATAAAGCAATCCGTCAGTATTTTATTTCCAGACTTTGATGTACTTGAGATTATTTGCTCACATTCTCGTGGGTTTCCTCATTGGTGCTCTGTATTTCAAAATCGGCAACGATGGTGCTAAAGTTCTTAGTAATCTAGGATTTCTATTTTTTAACATGCTTTTCTTAATGTATACGTCCATGACTATTACAATTTTATCCTTCCCGTTGGAGATGCCTGTGTTACTAAAAGAACATTTTAATAGATGGTACTCGCTGAGGTCGTACTACTTGGCTATAACTGTGTCAGATCTACCATTCCAAGTAAGCTGAAACGGAAATGTTTTGAAAATTGATATTATTTCTGTTTTTTTGTTTTAGACGGTTTTCTGTGTACTATACGTTACTATTGTATATTTCATGACTTCGCAACCGCATGAACTTAGTAGGTATTGTATGTTCCTGGCTGCCTGTTTACTGGTGTCGTTTGTGGCTCAGAGTGTAGGATTAGTGGTTGGCGCGGCAATGAATGTTCAGGTATTTATTATCATTTTAATTCTCCACACTGTCGGTTTAATGTAATGGCATTCCAAATAAACCTTTGTCATCAACAGCTTCATATAGCATGCGAAGGTTGCACTATGTACTAAAGTCCAAGCGAACTGGAAGTCCTGTTGATTATATTTACTTAATGAAATATCAGTTCTCTAGAATGAGTCATTACTAACTGTCACGTGAATCTGGAATAATTAATCATTTGCGGTCAATTAAATTAGTCATCTTTAATGCGTCTGATCTTTGTTTAGATGATTTATCACGCATTGTTGAACATTTATCGTGCGAATGGATTACTAATGATATGACTTATGTAAGAGTACAAGAATGAGACGAAAAAGTGCACATTAAAAAAAATTAGCAAGTCATAATTATATATTAGAACCTGATTATTCTGGTTATTTAATGTGTCCATTTTAATATGAGTTTAATGTAATATGACATTTTTTTGTTATCACTGTTTCATAAACCACATCCATCATTCGGTACTTAGATCTGTGGCCAATACTACAACATGACACATGCATGACTTAATTTGCCCAATCCAAACAATTCATAGTAGTGTTTTACAAAAGTTGTCAAAATTTTTGCCAATTCGGATTAAACTCGGATAAATCTACATTATTTAAAGAATTTTTTTGACAATGAAAATAAATTTTATACACATTTTGAAACTTGATTGACTTAATTTTTCAGCGAGTAAGCTGAGTCCTAATAAAGTAATAAATCTGATTACCACTACCGGTAGGCTAGGCACAGTTAGACTCGAGACATTTTAAAACAATCTAATTCAAGGTAAATGAGTTTTGTGTTAAAAACAAAATTATAGACGACAAAAATTTTATTGTTTATTGCAGTTTTTTATATGAACATTTCCGAGTCAAATTATACTTTAACCATGTATCAAACGAGTTGACATATTTTTAATTCAGGTTGTTATTTAATTTTCCTTTTTCGGTGGCAACTTGTTATCATTGTCGTAATGATTAATCACTGTTTACCTGTGTTATTTTAAGTCTTTTTAACTTAAGCCATATCTTACTTCCAAATAGAATTCGGTGTCCTGTTACACTTTTCTCAGAACTAATAACGTAAATCTTGCACGTCATTTTTTTGTTTAATTTACGTCAAATTTTAACGTCACGCCGGTGCTGAAGACCTTCAACATGGTCAAGTAGGTTCCACAAAAAAACTTATTATTCCATTGTTACAATGTACTAAATGAATATTATTCTAGTAACCGTAAATTGCCAAAGTGGTAGCAAAAAAATGGTTAATTAATTCAGGTTGATGTCCAGTTACCTATCACAAATGCACATAATTTTGTAGACAAATACACAATGACCACTATATTTGGAAAATATTTGGTTATCAATGAGGTCGCATAAATTTTCTATTGACTAATGACCCATTGTCACGGGTTTAATCAAAAAATGAATCGACACAAACCTTGAACCCAATTTATATACATCACCATGTTTTTGTAATATTTCAAAGTATAATCTACGTAAATTATTAATTGTGATGCTGAAAAAGTACGTCAAAACGTGTTTTTTTTTATGTCAGAATTTTGTGCTGACGTAACTTCATACAATGACTGATCACGAATTTAAAACAACGTTTGTGTTTTTTTTTCAGAATGGTGTGTTTCTGGCCCCTGTAATGTCCGTACCGTTCCTTTTGTTCTCTGGATTCTTTGTATCGTTTGACGCAATTCCGATTTATCTAAGATGGATTACGTATTTGTCTTACATACGATACGGTTTTGAAGGCACAGCTTTGGCTACTTATGGCTTTAATAGAACAAACTTGGAGTGTTTCAACCAGTACTGTCACTTTAAAAAACCAATTACAACATTAGAAGAGCTGGATATGATCAATTCGAACTACACCGTAGATATTGTCGCATTGGTTGCTATATTTTTCGTCTTGAGAATAGCAGCATATCTTTTCTTAAAATGGAAATTGAAGTCAACTCGTTGATTAATTTTTTTTTTGCGACTGAGGATTTAAGTAGCGAATTATTATTACAAAAGTAATGGTGAAGAAAGTTTTTTTATTTGATAGTAGTAGTCTGATTATATTATGTCCAAGTTTATATTTCGTTCTTTTCTAAGCGTGGAAATTTTATTGTAACACGAATTTGAGTGTGATAGAAAATAGGTAGGGCTGTGATTGTCAAGATAACTTATAGAGTGAATTTAATCAAACTTGCCAGAATTTTGCCCATGACTATGGTTCCCTTATCAATGTTTCGCAATTCGTAGGTACCCTTGGACCACAATACATTTATATTTTTATACGCTAGTTAGAACTATTTTAATACTTATATATTATATCGTATGTACAAACTGTTAATAAATTGTTTAAGTTTACTTTTGCTTTTTTTTATACACACGTGCCATTTTTTGCGAAATTAAAAAACCTGATAATTAGCGACCGTCTGAATGTCTGCAAAGTTGGAGGCAATCTGCATTCCGGCAAGGTGAGACAAGTTGAACAATCTTATTTCGATGCCAAGGGGAACTGTTTATCTTTCTAACATTGAATCGTCCCTGAAGTTGGCAATTTAGGTTTTTTTTACCAAAAATAGAAACAATACAAATTTTGGTAGCTAACGATTATAGAGTTTACTTTTAATGATGCTTATTATAGGCGGCCTCAGAAATAATTTTGTCCACAAAATATCATAATGAGATTTTAATGATGTTAAATCAAGTCACTAGGGAGCTAATTTATGAACATTCTGTAATTAAAATTGATATTGATTGAAGTTAAATATAGTATTGTGATAACCCAAACTTCCCGCCTTAAAATTTGACGTTGAAACAGTTTGAAAGGCCCGCGAAAAATTCAAAAATTCAAAGTTTGGCCTTGGCTGTGATCGTCTAACAAATGAGAACCTACGTTGTGTGTTTTTTTTTTTTTGTGGTTTGAAAAATGGCGGGAAGAAGTTCTTTCATACAAGTGCATACACTGTCGAGAGCGCAAGGAATAATAGACAAAATTAGGAGCCTTCCTAAGGAGGAAAAAGAAACGAAGAACGACAGACGCTCGATTTGCCCTTCTGGCGAGTCCGCAGGGCCAAGGTGTCATCGGTCTTCATTCCCCAAAACCCCCTGGGGTTTTATTCACCGACATATTACATGTCAAACACCTTAAGATATGTGAAAGAAAAACACTCGCGAATTGACAGACATACACATATGAAAACCGAACAAACACAAGACCTACACATATGTAAATTGGATGGCAGAACCCGAATCATTATGAGAGTGTGGCGATCGAACAATCATAGAACAAAATATAGCAATTTCATTTATGAGCACAGCAAAATACCCAGAGGAGGCGTTGTAGCGCAAGTGGAGGTTGGGACTCCTGATCATCACTGTTCTCCCTCACGACGGTGATTCTATCTACACCAACGCCTGCTCACACGCATCTCTCCATTACGAACGTGCCCTGCGAAACGAGGCGGTTACGATCGCAGATCCGTAGTGGGGTCCCGGCTATGGACAGAAGCCGACAGCGTTAAAAACCCGCGATCGACCCCTGAAGCTATACAACACCCGCGGGCTTGTGCAGGTGACGCGATTAATCCCGTCAGTTTGAGAAGGAGTCGCGCGCCCCAAGTACACTACGAGTTATGTGTTATTTACCTTAATTTCATTTAAATGTTCAATCTCTATGACTCTGATATTAAATGACAACCGAACAAGTGTTAAAGTTTCAACAAAGAGCAATAAACAACATTTAAATTCGCCATACACTCTTACGGAAATTCAGTCAACAAATAATTCTTAATTGAGATTAAATTTGGACATCAGATAATTTATATGAGAGAAACATTCATCAACAAAACATTTACATGATCAAAACTTAGCAAAGATTTATAAAACAAAGATCTGGTGTGAAATAAACTTGTGCAAATAAAATATTATGTTAGGTCAAAACTGTAGAGCATGGAAATTTACGTTCAATTCAAATTATACAACAAGGAAAATTACTGAAGCTAAAATTGTGAGACAAAGACAAATTGCATGAGGTGAAAGATTGTAAAGTTAACAGATTTACATGTGATTAATAATAATTCGTGTCCAGTCAAGTTATTGGTTAAAATTCAAACGTGAAATTATTTAGCTGCATTGTGGGCCATTATTACACATACATTTCCCCAAACAAAACACATAAACAAACATGGCAGACAATCTGCAGTTGCAAAATGGCGTTGGACGAATTCGTCATTCCAAATAATAGGCGTCGAAAATATGCGATGCAAAAATACGATGAATCCTGTGGCGTTGTATAAACGATGTGCTAAATCCAAAGAATAAAGGCACGTCCCCCCATGACCCACAATGTTTGTTAATTTGTTCAATAGATTCAGTTAAAACATGTGCTCGATTAAAAGAAACAAATGGACGCTTCAAAATGGCCGCTGCCTGAACAAAGAACGGTGAGAATAACAACTCGTTTGCCGCCATCCAAAATACAGATTTCACAAATATAGCTAAATAAAGCATGGCCCGAACTAGAAATCACTTCCTGTAAAGCCCTACTGCGATGGATTTTAAATGAAAGATAAAAAAAACGAGATTAGTGGAAAAACAAGCGCACGCGTCGCTGCGTCACGAGGTCAGAAGCATCGTCGGGGCTTGAAACTCGCCGCGAAACAGGTGTTCAAAACATACCTCTCCAAAGATGCGAAGATTTCGACACGGCTTACCGCCAAAAGGAACGCAAAAAACCTCGTCGTAAGAACGATGAGAAATCAGGAACACCCAATGGCTCAACGGGGGCTGCTAGATTTTCCAATGGAACAGATCAACACTGGAAAAACAAAACACAACAGCAAAAGGCACAGAATAATTCACAATTAAAAATACAACCTGTTGCTCGAAGCGCTCGAAAAGAAAGTCGACCGTTTGTTCCAAGCGGTCAAAGCGAAGTGGCGGTTTTACCCGAGACAAAACCACCCTCGCTTTGCGCACGTCTGTTTCCTTGGGGTGGTTGGTTGCCAACCTCTCCTTCTTCTCACTAACCGTTTCTTGTGCGCGCGGAATTCGTTTGAAATTTAAAAATTCGAATTGGATCCTTACAGTATATATTTTAAATTCTGCTGGAATTAGTATGCGTATTGCGACCAGAATTATATAATCTGCTGTAAATTCGCGTAATGCCTGACTTTATGTACAATTATAAAAAATCTCGATTGCGGAAAGCTACTTCAATAGCAAGTAGTTGTCAGTTCTTACGTTGAGTAAACCATGTTACATAAAATTTAAGCAATATTTATGTTTGTCATTCGATGGAAACATTGCTACTGCAAGCACTAATTTTATTAAAAATACCAAATTGATTTACTGACGTTCCCAAGTACGAAAATTAATTATTAATAATATTTCCATGCCTGTATATATTTGGATGTAATGTAAAAATACTCTTGATAATTACAGCATGTGCGAACACAAAGCTTATTAAGAATAATAATTACGGATTGTAATTTTTATTAACAATTAATATGGAAGTTCAGTGTTCCAATAAACACATCGTTATAACAATTGAAAAATCACTCAGAGTAGGCGTTGGACTCTCGTTTGACTGAGTGATTTTTAAAGTGAACACCCGTTATTTAATAAACTAATTATTGCGTACTAATTTCAACCATTTCTGTAAATAAAGAACATAAAAAATTAACTTGCGAGATATTCTGAAAATACTTGAAGTGTTGTTGATGTTCCATAGTATACACGAAACACAGGTTTTCATTTTTTCTGTTTGTCTATAGAAATACAAAATATTGTGAAATAAATTTCATTTGAAATGCGACATTTTATTTCAAGGTTAGTTGAAGAATTAACAGTTTTTTTACTTCCCACGCGACAGCCAAACAGGGTATTTCCTGGCGTCGTCGAATGTGAAAATATAGGTTTTTCATTTCCTCATGTCTGAAATTTTAATAAACTTACCTACAAATTATATCATTGAAGCAAAACACGCTAAAATTAATTCCCTCCAAGAAATACGTGACGTCATCTGAAAATTTTGTCAGTAAGCAGTGAGTTTATCTTGAGATAATGATTTTTACAACGTATCTCACAAATCATACAATACGTAATAGATGTTACCGCATTTTTAAAGTTTGTTCATTCAAATATATGTATATATGTATGTATATATTGTATAAAAAATTTGATGACATCTAAAAAATCTATAAAATAAATTTTTTGAAAAATTTATCCTGATATGCAGGTAATATTTGGGCAAGCTCACGAAAATGTCAACCTCAGCGCATTTTTTTGAAAATTGTTAAATTAGTCTAAATCTTACAAATAGTAGTTCTAAAAACTTTAAATTTTACTGGCATATATTTGCTTTTACAATACCATAACACCCGCAGTAAAAATTTCTTGTTATTGAGGAATAATAAAATTGTTCAGAGAAATGATAGATATTATATCTTCTTTAACATTGCTAGAAACAAAGTAAATATCTTGATTTACTTACAATATAAAGCATGATCGTAAAGAGTGTATCTTTATTGACAATAATGTACAATCAGTACTTATCCCAACATCATCTTTAAAAAATATTACAGTTCTTTCTTCTGATATATGTGATAATTGGTGTAAGTAACGATAAGGGACGAATTTTCATGTTATTTGAAAATATTAAAAATAATTGCAAATCAGGTTCCATTATCTCTTTTTCTCGTTCTCGCTCTCTATGTTCATTGTACTTTTATTGAAATTGCCTTGTGATTATTATTAAAAATCGCATCGTTACTTAGTTTTGAAATTAAATAATTAGTCTTGACAGTCGTCAATCTACCAATAATTTGATTTTGCTGTGTTAATCAAAATGTCTTTAACATCCACTGAAAAAGTAAGAAAACACCGACAAAAAGTAAAGAGACTCAGAATACCTAAAGTCAACCAACCGAAAATATCAGCAGAAATATAGGGCAAACATAAGCTGCACAAATAAAAAAGACATTTCCCTAGAAAAAAGTTAAGATACCATGAAAATAAAAAGGAGAAAAGCGAGAAAAGCCAAAATGAAAACAAACAAATGGAAATTTCAAATGATGGTAATGTCATCAAGTAAATAAATTGTAAATTCGGTAAGTTTGAATATTTTTTCTCATAGCATTTAATCCTTTTACGTTGACATTACATACATTTGTTCATTTCAACTTATAGAGGCTCTCATAAAAAAATAAAATTTGCAAAATCAAATTTTATAATTTTCGAAAATGGTGGAAATGTTTCATTGTGTGTACTTCATGGGCGAGGCAAGTTCTGTCTAAACCACCTTCGACCAACTTTTTCTTTTGTTTAAAACACGAATTTGCAATTTTTCTTACTTCCGTGGC